ACAGTCTCTATAATTACATTGTTTTCAAAAGAAGCTACCGAAAGAAGATATGATCCACCACTATGAAAGAGTAAACCATACCAGAGGAAGATGGATCCAGGAAAAAGAGATACAATGTAAGAGAGAAAAAGGAATCCCAGGCTAAGGGTGAAGGGAAATCCCCAAACTAGAAGTGCTTCACTGGCCTTTGGTGATTAATTAGAATTCGAGAGATGGGAGACAATCAAGGATTACTTCCAGGCTTCTGTTTAAACAACTTGGCAAAAGAGCATGTAATTAGGTAAGAAACACCAGCAGAGCAGGTATGAGAGCAGGTATGCTTCTGGACATGTTGAGTTTGAGGGGAGATGGTGACTACAAACTTAACTTGGGTATAGAGTTGACTCTAGGCTAGAGAAAGAGTCATTTGCTGTCAGTGCAAAGATGGCAACCTAAGTCCCTGAACTGGAAATGATCACCCATGAACAAAGTGTAGAATGGCAATAAAGAAGGCCTAGGACAGAGCCCTGAAAACTCCCAGACATAAAGATGAGGCAAAAGAGGAGCTGGCAAAGGAGGGGCTAGAGAGACAGGAAGAAAATGAGAAGAACCTAAGGGTATCATGAAAGCCAAGAAAAGAGATTGCTTCAAGAAGGATTCAAGAGTTCCAGGTTCAATAGTCAAGGAAGAGGAGGATTAAAAATTGCCAAATGAGGGGCACCTGGGTGGCTCAGTCGGTTGAGCGTCCGACTTCAGCTCAGGTCATGGTCTTGCAGTTCGTGAGTTTGAGCCCTATGTCGGGCTCTGTGCTAACAAATGGCTCAGAGCCTGGAGCCTGCTTCAGATTCTGTATCTCTCTCTCTCTCTCCCCCTCCCCGACTCATGCTCTGCTTCTCTCTGTCTCTCAAAAATAAATAAATGTTAAAAAAATAATAATAAATAAATTGTTCGGGCACCTGGGTGGCTCAGTCGGTTAAGCTTCCGACTTCAGCTCAGGTCATGATCTCACAGTTCATGGGTTGGAGCCCCACATCAGGCTCTGTGCTGACAGCTCAGAGCCTGGACCCCGCTTCGGATTCTGTGTCTCCCTCTCCCTCTCTGCCCCTCCCCTGCTTGCTCTCTCTCTCTCTCTCTCTCTCTCAAAATAAATAAATGTTTAAAAAAATACTTAAAAAAAATTGCCAAATGAATTTAGTGGCATGGAAGTCACTGGTAATAAGGGCGACAGTTTTTCCCTATTAGATTATCAAAGATTAAAAAGATTGATTCTTATAGCTATCAAGCTATGGAGAAATGGCACACTCATACACACTGGTGGAAATGTAAATAAGCACCACATTTTTTAAAGAATTTTTTTTTAAGTTTATTTATTTAGAGAGAGAGAAAGTGTGTGCGTGCAGGCATGCGAGTAGGGGAGGGGCAGAGAGAGAATCCTAAGCAGCCTCCACGCTGTCAGTGCAGAGCCCAACATGGGGCTCAATCCCAACAACCTTAAGATCATGACCTGAGTCAAAATCAAGAGTCAGACACTTAACCGACTGAGCCACCCAGGTGCTCTAAGCACCACGTTTTTGATAAGCAATTTGGGAATACCTATCAAACATAAAATGTATATACCCTCTAACCCAGAAATATTCTTCTAGAATATTCTAGATATTCATCCAACAGAAATATTGGTACAAGTGTGCAAGCTATGTATAAAAATGTTCATATGCAGACCCTTATTCAGATTTTGAGGCAGGGAGAAACTACATTACCATCAAGAATAAATAAGATGAATAAATTCAATGAAATAATATACCCAATGGATCCCTATGCATTGTTTATAAATAGAGTACATTTGATTGTACTGACGTAGAATGGCATCCACAACATAGTAAATGAAAAATCAGCATATATAGTCCCCATGTTTCAAAAATGTACAGATATAGATATGCATACACATTAAAATATCATGATAATATAAATGTTTGTAAATACATAGATTAAAAGACAAAAATATAAAACTCACTGGAGGTAAAGTCTATGAAACGGTATTTGAGGAGCAAAGGAGAGCTTTCGCTTTTCCACTAGTTGGATTTTTCACAAGAATGTATTATTTTTATAAAATTTTAAAGATCACGTGAAAGGAAAAAGCATCTGCTAAGATGTGTGGGAGAAATTAGAATAGCCAGCTGTCTGATGCCTTACCTTTTCTGAGATAGGTTCTTGGTATAGACTTGGTTGACAAAATCACCTAATTGAAATTTGGGGCAAGATGCTCCATCCTTCTCACAGTCTTCAAAGTGCACAGAGAGGAACAGTTCATTCAGATGTTGCAGCACTTGTAAGTGGGGCATGTCCTTTGCGGTGCAGATGTTTAGGATGGCGTAGAACACTCCCTCCAACCACTTGATATTGAGGATTATTCCCCCTACACATTAATGGGAAGGGAAATACCAGTCAGCACCACCAAAAAGGTTTGCCGGGAACACAGGACAAAGAACAGTCACCTTTTTTCCAAGACAGGTGGGTCATATGAACCTCAAGATAAGCAAACACTCCTCTTTCTGGGCCAAGAGCCCTGATTGTGCCCTTTATAACAAATCATGTATCAACCGCACCACAGGAGGACAGGTATGACTAATGTAGACATTGCTAATGGCAAAAGCATCTCTAGAAATCTCTAGAATGATCCTCCCAATAAGGAGAAGAAACTAAGGAAAAATGCAAGATTAGAGCAGGGAAATGCCATTTAATGCCAGACAGCACATCCTCCTGTTTAAATAGGCTCTCCCCTCTGGCTGTTTCTGGCTCAGCCTTAACAGGTCCAAATACTCAGACTTGTCTGCTTTCCTTAATGGAGGCTGCTTTTTGTTACCAAAGCTGTTCCCATTCAAAACTAAACAGCTGAGAATGTATCCAGCTTGTACTCCCCCTACACACATAACCCAAGACAGACAGACAGACAGACAGACACACACACACACACACACACACACACACACACACACACACACACACACACACAGGGATTATAAAATAGTACCAGGCCGAGAGGAAGTAACTTTCAAAAGAGTGCCAAACACACAGCAAGCCTTTACCAGCAGAACTGTAGGGGCAGGTAGCCTGAAGGGTCGCAGGATCTTGGAGAGCAGCTGTGATCTCCTTATTGGCCCCCCAGATGTTGACAAAATCTTCAACACACTGATACTGAGGCCGCAAGATATTGGTGTGGTTCAGCAGGAGTTTCAACCTGAAAGGAAATCCCCCAAGACATGGAGTGCTGGGCCAGGACTATCATAAACCACCACAGGATCCATTGCATTGGATCATATCCAACCCCAACAACATCCTCCCCTGCACAACACCGCTCAGGGGCAAACATGGGTGGAGGCAGCACTGAGGGCACTGCTTATTAGTTGGACTCTTTCAACCACTAACACTTAGTGAATGTTGTCTCATGCCAAACACCAGGCTAGACAATAGGGGCACAAAAATACTATTTGACACATGCTGTGAATCATTTTTCATGTCGGTCACTGGTGGTTTCCCTTCCCATTAATGCATAAGGGGAACGCTAGTCAGCCTCAAGTAGTGGGAAGCAATGCGCCATTGCAGTTCTAAACATTTGCACATCAAAGAAAATGTTCCACCCACAAGTGCTGTTTGTGGAAAAGTGGGGAAGACACAATTAGAAAGGCTGGCTGGGTGTGGCAGGAGAAGCTGCTTCTACCTTATTACCGGGAATGACCAACTCCATGAAGTAGGGGGCCAGGGTGGAGGTGGGGGGTAGAAGCCAGATATGAGGGGATATGGTTCTGCCAGTTCCGTGCTCTCCCTAACAGGATACCTGGCTATTGGGATAGCAGCTGCGAAGCTGTACACAATGCAACCTTTTTCCAGGCGGGCTTGAATTTCCAGACAGATAGTAGGCAGCTGAGATGGCAGGCAGCAGAGGAATATCAAGTTGGCCCAGTTCACCAGATAAGGGTTATGGTAAAAGCACTGGATTCCCAGTTTCTGGAACTCATCTGGGAGGGATAAAGGAAGAAAGAAAGATCATAGTACAAATGAGTTTGAGCTAAACATCAACTATGGGGAGAGGATGACAATTACTTCATCTCAAGTCCTGTCGACACATAAATCAAAGAATTCCCCTCACATCTTCTAGAAGACACAGGTAATGCCCTAACCCCATTATCAAAGCAGCTAGCACCACTGCAACAGTGCTTGAGATTACAATTCATCCTTATCTTCTTTTAGACCTAATGCTAGAATTTTTCAGGTTTGTTTATTTTTGAGAAAGAAAAAATCTGGAAGAAGCCTTCTTGCTCTAATTTACTGAAGGCTTACCACATGCCAGATAGTGTACAAAGTACTCTACGTACATTGTAAGGGAATCCTCACAAGGACCTTCTGAGACAGAGATTGGTATTATTCCTATATTACAAATGAGGAAACTGAGGTTTCAAGAAATCATTTGGCTTGCCTAGAGTTACACAGCTAACTGGCTTGAGCTCTCAGGTAGGAATGGCTAAGAGAGTGGAAGAGTATAGGGCAGAGGCTGGGAGGAGTCTGGAAAGATATACTTATGGTTTCAGTAAAGTAGACACAACTGACTGTTAACAAGATACTTTTAAATGTTGAGAGAAATGTGGTAGCTCATGTATTTTCAGTATTATCAGTCACTGATAGTTAATCATTTGTACTTTTTCAATATGGATTTCAAAAGTAAAAATGTAAACTCACATAAGGCAGCATGTTTTAATTGCTATTGGAAAACAGAATATTATAGACATTGGAGGGGTGAGTTTTTATTTTCACTACCAAGAGTACATGATACATGTGATGCTATTGTTATCTGGGCACTTGTAAACCTAGAAGATGGACAGGACAAAGAGGAAGTTTAAAAAATATACACAAGGGCACCTGGGTGGCTCAGTCAGTTGAGTGTCTGACTCTTGATTTCAGCTCAGATCATGATGCCAGGGTCATGGGATTAAGCTCCGCATCAGGCTCCATGCTGAACATGGAGCCTGCTTGAGATTCTCTCTCTCTCTCTCTCTCCCTCCCTCCCTCCCTCTCTTCCTCCCTCCCTCCCCTGCTCATGCTCTAACATAAAAAAAGAAAACATGCACAGCCATTCTTCTTTCATGTTTTGCTCTCAAAAGTGTACAGACTCTGATGCTAAGCATTTTGAGTTCCTGCTTCCTGACACAACATGCAGTGATATTCTAAAACTACAATTTCAGGGGCACCTGGGTGGCTCAGCATCTGACTCTTGATTTCAGTTCAGGTCATGATCTCATGGTTCATGAGGTTGAGCCTGGCATCGAGCTCTGCGCTGGTAGTGCAGAGCCTGTTTGGGATTGTCTCTCTCTCTCTCTCTCTCTCTCTCTCTCTCTGCACCTCCCCTGCTCATGCTCTTAAATTAATTAGTTAATTAATTTTAAAAACTGCAATTTTATTATTAAAAAATATAGTGCTTTCCAAGGAATATATGTACCTTATTGAAATATCACATATACTAGTCCTATTGATAAGATTTAAGGGATTTGTCTTGGGTGTAAGATTTTTTTCAAGTTTCTTTAATACAGAAAGAATGCTTGCAAACTAATAAGAAAAAAATTAGAAAAAAATGTTCAGCATTCCACACAAAAGTTGAACAAAAAGAACTCAAAAAAGATGAAATAGCAATAAACCTATAAAAAAATATTCAGTTCTTCTTGGAGAGTGTTATGCTAAGTGAAATAAGCCATACAGAGAAAGACAGATAACATATGGTTTCACTCTTATGTGGATCCTGAGAAACTTAACAGAAACCCATGGGGGAG